TTCAGTAAGAGGGCTGTCATTTTATGTCTTCTGGTATAGGGATACTAATGAGTCAAAATAAGGCTTCTCTCTCCCTAGAACTGGAAAAGATTTCCTAGAGAGTAGAAATGGAGAAGACTTAAACATTGAGTGTTTCCTTAATAAAGGGACTCAGTTTCTTTTCCTCCTCCAACTCTGGGCCAAACTCCTGACACATGGGAAATGAAATTCCAGATGGTTTTGAGGGGCTCAAGTTCAGAATCCTGGAATAGCTTACTGGTAGAGTTGTGTTTTAGCATTGTGAGGCCCTGGATTTTTATCCCTCAGCACTGGTGGGCATGGTGGGGAGCATGGATACAGAATTCTTCTTTCCTCCTTCCCTAAATACTAAATAGAGTCAAGGACTGTGCTGAGACCAAGGAATTTGTTTGGCACAGTCTAACGTTGGAGTTTCACGTTGTGTTTTGGCGGATTAGACTCTGATTGTTCCATTTAGGGGCTGAGACTGTGCCTGAGTTTATTTTCTTGAGACAGCACAGAGAGCGACAAAATCAATTTCTAGGAGTTCAAGAGAGTTACAGAAGTGGAAAGGAACTCGGCTGAAATAGAAGAGTCTCTCAGATGGGAATGAAAGATTACATGGCAACACTTATGAAGATTCATAACAGAATGTGGTCTGTTATAAATTACATTTTTTTAAGTTACACTTTTTGATCATTTGAGTTTCTAGGACAAAAATTGTACCTCCTATGCTAGTCTACCTGCTGTAATTCTCCTGCCTCATATTCCAAGTTTGATATGTAGTATTGCCATTATTATTTTCTAAACCATTTCCCATTACAACTTCCGGTTTCTCCTGACACAAAATTAACTCCACCCTATCTCCCACATTACCCAGATCCTTGCCCATGCTAGCCAAGTGCTCTACTACTAAGCTACACCCCCACCCCATAACTCAACATTTTTATAAATGTAAAAATAGATTTTTTTTTCAAAAACTTAAATTTCATTACTATGAAGAGTATTTTTGAAATTACTAAGCCTCAAACTGTGTTTAATTTTAATACTTGTTTTCTGACACATGGGAAATGATGTTTTTGTTTTTCTGAATACTCTCTTTCTCAAAGCTTTTTCTAATTTATTTTCATTAAACGCCATGTCTTTTATTTAAAAGCTAATGAGGTAAAATAATTTAAAGTCATCAACATAATAAAACCAATAAGATCACAAACATTTCCAAAATCAACTTTATTTGCTCCATGGATCTCTGAGGAAATGTTATCTCCTCAGGATGACCTTGTGAATTTAAAAGAGAACTACATTGTCTTCCCCCCTCCACATATACAGGCTTTCAATCCTCTTACTTGGTATTCTTTTTCTCTATGGAAATTTACCTCCATTGGACACACTATATATTTTATCCGTTTCCATGGTGATAAGACTCAAGGGCTGGGTTCCTACACCCATTCCGATTTGTTTACTAGTATCTTCTAAGTGTGGAAATCAAAATACACCCAAAGAACCAAGAAATTGCCTAGTGCTCAGAATGACTATTCAACATCTGGATTCCTGGGTGGTACAGAAACAGCACATTAATTACAATAATTTTTTTTTTTTTTTTTTTTTACTTTTTCCTCCCAGCCCTTTCCTCCTTTAACGTGGTAAATAAAGTTTGCTGGCCTAAGAGTAGCTTCCATATCAATCTTTTGGTCAATGAAGAGATTTTAGCGAAAATACAACTAAATCAGCCAAGAAGAGGGGGGTAGGGGAGTGATCTAAGCAGTAGCCTCAATGGGGCATTCCCTGGCTAGATGTCCAGATTCGCCACAGCGGTAGCAGTTCACTTCGCTTGCCTTACTACAGTTCACTGCTACATGGCCGGTCTCGCCACATCGGTAGCATTTGACTTGGGTACAGTCTTTCTGGATGTGCCCGAATTCACCGCAAGAGTAGCATTTCTGTTCTTCCTGATGGTCACAATCACGAGCTAAATGGCCTGGTCTGCCGCAGGTGTAACAGCACTGTTCTCTGTCTCTTTTAGGATCCATACAGTCTTTGGCGATGTGGCCACTTCTCCCACAGTTGTAGCAGATGTTCTGGTGAAGGTCACAGTTTTTGACATGATGACCAGTCTTACCACAGCGGTAACAGATGTCAGATTGGGTGGTGGAACTGCACTGAGGACCTCTGCCGCGGCCTCTAGGTCCTCGCCCTCGAGCTCCTCCTTTAGGGCACTCCCGGGCCCAGTGGCCAGACCCTCCACACTTGAAACATTCTTTACCGCTCATGGCCGCGGTGAGATCTTTTGGTGAGCAGGCCCACCCACCGGTGCCAGGGAGGCCCAGAGGCAACTCCCCTTAGGATGGCTTAGATGGAAATGACTCTTTTCCTACCGGGAGCTCTGTGACGTCACATGAGGTTTGCGCACGGCCTCATTCACAGGTGTTCTAACCGCCTTCTCCCTCCTACTCAAGCAGTCAGAATTGATAATAGATTAAGTGTTGTTTTCAGTTTGTTTGTTACCAGGTATTGAGCCTAGGGGCGCTTAACTACTGAGCCACATCCCCAGCCCTTTTTAATATTTTATTTTGAGACAGGGCCTTGCTGAGTTGCTTAGGCCTCGCCATTGCTGAGGCTGGCTTTCAACTCCTGATCCTCCTGCCTCAGCATTCCGAGTCACTGGGATTACAGGCATGTGCCACCTGCCCGGCTCAGTTTTATTTTTAACATTTGAACCGCTAAGTATGAGTTTGTTAAGACAATGTGACCGGTACAATTTTTCATAACTAGGAGGCTTCCGGGCCCAAGGTTGTTAAGTGGTATGGCACAGGCGCAAGGCTCTGGGCTCACTCCCCCCCCCAAAAAAAAAAAAAACCCTTTATTTGTGGTCTAGTAGATAATCAGTTTTTATATATGTTTTGTGGATACAATATGTGAGAAGTTAATCCAATAAAGGAAAGAAATTATACAAATTAGAGTAGACTATTTTTTCCTATCTTTTTTGTTCAGGAGCGGTGTGTGTGTGTGATGGAATCCAGGGCCTCTCACATATTAGGCACCTGCTCTACCACTGATCTACATTCCCAGACCTTATTTATTTGGCCGTGTGGAGGGTACTGGGGATTGAATCCAGTGGTGCTTCACCACCGTGCTACATTCCCCAGCCTTTAATTTTTTTTTTTTTTTTTTAGTTTGAGAATTTGACAGTGTTTTGCTGAATTGCTGAGGCTGGCCTCAAACTTGTAATTCTCCTGCCTCAGGCTCCTGAATTGCAGGGAATACAGGCGTGTGCCACCAGCTTGGCTCCCAGAGCGCTCTCTCTCTCTCTTTTCTTCTTTTTGTGGTCATTGTTGTTTTAAAAAAATAAAACGTGGGGCTATTTGTGGCTCAGTGGTAGAGCGCTTGCCTAGCATGTGTGAGGCACTGGGTTCGATTCTCAGCACCACATAAAAATAAATAAATAAAAACAAAGGTTCATCCACAGCTAATCCATCCATCTATATATCTATCTACACAATAAAACGTGTGCTGATAAGATAGAAAAAAAAATCTGTAAAATGCCACAGTGAAAAGACATGCTCAAAATTTATCCCCGCCCCCACAAACTCTTCTTTGTTTAACCTAGGGACCATCTACCACTGAGCTAATCCCCAGCGCCCCCCTTTCAAATTATTTATTTATTTATTTATATATATAGAGAGAATTTTAATATTTATTTTTTGGTTTTCCCCGGACACAACATCTTTGTTTGTATGTGGTGCTGAGGATGGAACCCAGGCCACATGCATGCCAGGCGAGCTTGCTACCGCTTGAGCCACATCCCTAGCGCCCCCCTTTCAAATTTAAAACAGGGTTTCCCTGAATTGCTAAGGCCAGCTTTGAATTTGTGATCCTCCTATCTTAGTCTCCAAACTAGCTGGAATTACAAGCGTGCTTATTGCAGGAATCTTAGTTTTCAACATTATCACCATCATTTAATTTATAAAACAGAATAATATTGAAGCATTCAATATAAAAAAAGCTTATTCCTTAGAAAACATATTACAAAGTCAGAAATATTTAGACATTTCTTCTTTGTTGTTTCCCAAATTGTTTATAGATTGTATAAACTTCACAAGGATTTATGGACATGATGTACATTCATATAGATAACAGAAACAAATATTAGAGTAAGGGCTCTGACTCAGTGGTACAGCTTGTTCTTGGCATGCACATGGTTCTCAATCAGATCCCCAGCACCACAAAAAAGATAAGGGGGGGGGACACACAACATAATTAACACTGAAACATCATTGTCTTCTTTGTTTTTCTATTTGCAGTGCTAGGGAGTGAACCTAAGGCCTTGTGTATGCTAGGTCAGTGCTCTATGACTAATGCACACTTTCCCTTTTTCTCTTCTTTCTTTCTTTTTTTTTTTTTTTTGTCTTTTTTCAGGTACTGGGATTGAACCCAGGGGCGCTCTACCTCTGAGTTACATCCCCAGTCCTTTTTTTTTTTAATTTTGAGACAAAGTCTTGTTAAAGATTGCTGAGGGGGCCTTGAAATTTTGATTCTCCTGCTTTAGCTTCCTAAGAAGCTGGGATTACAGGCATGAGTCATTGAGCCCGGCTGACTCTTTCTTCGGTTTTTGCAAGTTTGTTTTTTTGTTTTTCCATTTTTTTCTTCTCCTTTTTCTTTTACAATTTGTAATATCAGAAACAACAGGGGAGGAGTAAGAGGCCCGGTAGGGCTGCAGACCCTGAAGGCCAAGAATTGAAGTTTAGATCACCAAGGTAACACGCAGAATAAGGGTAGTCAAACTTGGCGATGGAAGAGTGGGCTAAGAAGAATGGGAGAGGGATTGACGAAAGACGAATGGGCTGAGGAAAGTATGGTGTTGGAAGCTGGTGCCACGTAGGGGAGCCGAACATTGAAGAAGCTGGGTGGACTAGAGATCCAGATACTTGGTAATGGGTTAAGGCGCCTGCTTCGACTTCAATCGGAGCCGAGGGTGGGGTGGGGTGATTGCGCATGCGCCAGAAGCACACTGCAGAGCTGCAGGACAAGCTGTGGGTTTCTGGCATCAGCCCTGCGGCTGGAGGCATGGCAGGTTTCCTGCCCAATACCCACTGCTTCTAAGGCCTGCTGCCGCCACCCAGGCATCTCTTACTCTCTGCACACTGTCTTGGGACAGCCGGCTCTAGGAATTCTCGCTATGGCACTCGATTCAGCCAGGAGGTAAAGGAAGGACAGAGGGGGAGAACATAATGTGGAGGGTGGCCGAGGAAACTCGGGCCATGGAGATCCTTAATTTCTGCATTCCCCCCGGTTGACCGGCGAAAATGAGGGCCAGTACGGGCTTCAGACCTCCAAAAAGATGTTGAGCATTTATTTCTCATTGTGAAAGGGATACAAGCTTTCCTTTAAATAGGGTTGAGGCATCTGAGCATCGATATTTTCTATAATGCCTCATGTTTAAACAGTTTGGGGGGGCGATTTTCCTATTTGTAGCAGGTGAGGGTTTAGGATTAGGCTCATCCGATGGTTTATGAGAAAGCTTTCTAGCTTTTGTTCAGGTTGGCGGGCCTTATAATACATTATGTGAATCCGAGAGTACTCTAGCTCCTCCCTTGGGGTCGGGGAGGATAAACCTAGTTCTGGGATATGCTCTGATCACCCGTAACGCCTTTTTCCCCCGTATTCAACTTCCCTAGTTTATCAGACTGTATTAGGGAAGGCTGGTAATGACTCATTTTGGGCACTGGGGCATAACTATAGCGAGAAACACATCCAGATGTCATTAGGCCTGTGTGTGTATGTGCACGCGCGCGTGTGCATGACGGAGGTGGTAGCTGGAGTGGGGAGAATAAGGAGGACAGGCGCGGTGTGCGCGGCATTTGAGAGGCTGGGATGAGGCGGCGCGGCGCGGAGTGGCGGCATTCAAGTATTTTATGAGAAGGCCTAATGTGAAGCGAAGGGGCTTCAGTGGCGGGGAAGAGAGAGGCACGCAGGCGCAAGGCTTGGGTGGGGGTGGGCGTGGAGGGTCGAAAGTGAAAGAGGCGAATTCTGCGGAGAAATCAAAGTTGCGCCAGCGGCTGGAGGGGGAGGGAGAGAGAGCGAGGGTGCGCATGCGTATTTCAGACAACATGGTGACGGTTGAGTTCAACTGTCTGGAAGGAGCAGCGTGCCTGCGTATTTCCGTCAGAAAGCCGGGAGGGAGGGAGGGAGGCGCGCTGCGCATGGGTAATTAAGGTTACAAAATGGCGAGGGGGTCGGTAAGTTGTCTTTGGCCGCTTTGGGCCAGAAGGGTCTGCAGAGAAGCAGATCTTCCTTTCTAGTTAATGAAGGTATCAGCCTGATTTGAAAGTTATAGGTTGTGGCTAAATCCACAAGGAAGTAACCCGGAGTCTTAGCTTCTTACTGGCTTACGGATAGTGTGCGTTTAAAAATGCGGAGATGACTGTAAAAGGTTGCGGCAGCTGGCTGTGTGTAGGAGGGGCGTAAAAGGTCATCACTTAGAGACCGTTCTTTGCCACTTTCGGAATATATTTCAATATATATTTGAAAGGCTTTCGGATTTTGGGCCGCTATATGTGATTCTGGATACATTTTTTTCATCTCATCGGAATAGCACAGCATAGTGGTTGCAATGTGAGAAACTACTGTTATGTTGGTTGAAAATCTCTGATCTTTCTCCCCTTTAGAACATAGGGGTGAGGATTTAGCTGTTTCCAAATGTTTGTTAGATTTTGCTTGAAACCTGGGATTTGGGCAAATGGCTGCCAGGGGCACCCAAAGGGCAGGGAGAGAAATTTGAAAAGTATTTAGTGGTTATTGTTAGTATGAAAGTGACCTGGGCTTACACACTTTTCTCTAAATTACTTTTTCTTCTGAAGAATTTCCTACATGGTTTCCTCGGGGGTGGGGAGTGGTGGGGGATTTATGTTTCTCTTTTTTCCTTTTTTTTGGGGGGGATGCAGCTGCAGTGTTGTGGCTGAGTGCTGCCAGTGAGGATGGAGTTTGTTAATTTCTAAAAACAATAGTTAACACTTAGATATAGATTTTAGTGGAGAAGGCTCAGGATTCAAAAGTGAAGAGACAGATCTTTTCCAGTAATCCTATCCATGACCTTAGGCTAGTCCTTTTCCTTTTCTGGACCTATTTATAATAATTACACTTAAATGTCTAGTATTTACTAGTGCCAAGTACTGGTTGGCCTACATGCTTTTACATATTATTTAACTCATTTAGTATTCTCCACAATCCTATGAAATAGCAGTACTTTGTTCATTTTTTACAAATGAGAAATTTGAAGGTCCCAGATTAATTTGTCCAAGACTGTATAGTCAGTTGAATGGCAGACTGGATTTTAATATAGATAGTATATGTCCAGAATCCTGTGTGCCTAAACATTGTTTTATTTCCTAAAGTAAAGGGACACATTTAAAGGAAACTTTTCGTTTTGAAATCATAAAACTCAGCACCACATTAAAAAAATAAAGATGTTGTGTTCACCGAAAACTAAAAAGGAAGGAGACCTGTTTACTGCTTTTGACTTAGTGCACAGTACAGGGCTATATATGCAGGAATAAAAAAGTAAACAATTGTTGATTTGGAGCCTCCTGGGGTTGCTATCCTCATCTACACTTTTTTTTTGTTGTTCTATAGAGGGTCTAAAATGGCCGACTGCAGCAGGCTGGACACACCCTCCCTGTTTTGTGATCTGGTCTAAGGCTTTGCTGTAGTAGAGATTTTTTTTTTTTAATCTTAAGATTAATATTTTAGTGCGTTGATCCAAATGTGGGGTAGTAAAGATTATTGCCTCTTCTGTAATTAAGGTCTGAAAATACAAGTATTTGTATTATTTGGTTAAGATGACATCTGTTGAATTGGAATTACTACATAAAGGCTATGAATATTTTTAACACCCAATATATATTGCCAATTTTCTTCCTTAAAACTTATTTTTATAAATAAAAGCCATTTTTTTTCATTTTTTGGTTATCGATGAGATTAGGTTCCATTTTCCTTAATTTCTTAGAATTTTAATTTACATTAATGTGATATAGTTCATATCTTACACTGATTTATCTATAGGAGTTTTAAATTTAGTGTTTATTATTTTCTATTAGATTGTGTTTTGTAAATAAACACTGTTACTCAGATTTCTGTAATATGTTATAAATACCTATTTCAGGTTATTTTTTGCCTTTTCATTTTTGTTTTTATATCTGTAGTCGAGGTGAAATCATTGGATCAAATCGACTTTATTTTTTTGATTTAAGTTTGAATAGCTTCCTTAATCCGGAAATTAGATAAATATTAGTTGCAGCTTTGTCTGAAGATAGCCATCAATTGTGGTGAAAGAAGGTCTATAATTTCACCACCCAGAGACAACTAGTATTAATAAATTTGTTAATTTCTTTCTCTCCATTTTTCTATACTATTTTATACTGCATTTTGTATTTAACATTATAACATGCATATTTTCATGTTAAATATTCTTTCTAATTATCATTTAATAGTTTCATGATATTCTGTTGTGGAAGTATTTTATACATTTTCAGTAAATTATATAATGAATGTTTTTTCAGTTTCTATTACTTGTCTATTTTGGGTTATTTCCTATAGAATAAAGTTCCAGAATTAGAATTATTTGTCAAAAGGTTTGAGCATTATAAATATTCACCATAACCCAAAAAATTACATCAGTTTCTGTACCCAGTTATTTAGGTACTTAAATTTTTTTCATTTTTGCTAACTTAACACTTAAAAGAATGATATCATTGTTTTATCACACATTTTTCTGATTATCAATGAGGCTGGACTTTCAGATCTTAATTATTATTTTTGGTTCTGGAGATTGAATCCAGGGCCACCAGTCAGAAGTCAGATCTTAGTTATTAGATCTTATTTCGTTTTGTGAATTATTTGATTTGGGCCTAAATGTTATCTATTTGTAAATGACATTTGTTGCCAATACACTCCTGGTATGTTTGTTGCACTGAGTCTTAAGAAATATTTGTGATTCCAAAGATAACTGCTCTGTGAAATATGTATCAGGTTCTTGGTAGCCATTTTGATATAACACTTGTCTGTCCTTTAGAAAGATAGCCATTTCTTTTTATTAAAAGGAAATCATTTTTGAGTGCTGCACAGAAGTGGTGCTCCCTGGCTGTGGTTGTGGGTAGAATACATTTTGTCCCTAAAAATAAACCAACTTGGACAAGAAACAAAACAGTAGTCTATCCATTCAGGGATTGATCTTATTTTAAACATTTATTAGTTTTTTTGCATGGTGGTGCACACCTGTAATCCCAACAACTCTGGAGACTGAGGCAGGAGGATCACAAGTTCGAGACCAACCTCTACAATTTAGCTAGACTGACTCATACAACAACAACTTAAATCCCCAGTACTAACAAAAAATAAAAAATAATAGTATGGCTCAACCTGAAAAAAAAAAAAATAACGATGGGACACAGAAAAAATTTCATCCTGTCTTTGTATAAAACTGTCTGAACACATAACTACAATGGTAATCTCTTTTTTTTTTAAAGAGAGAATTTTTAAATATTTATTTTTAAATATTTTTTAGTTTTTTCCGTGGACACAACATCTTTATTTTTTTTTTTTTATGTGGTGCTGAGGATCAAACCCAGGGCCCTGCGCATGCCAGGGGAGCGCATTACCGCTTGAGCCACCTTCCCAGCCCACAATGGTAATCTCTTGAAGGAGTCTCTTACTGTCACCCAGTTTTGAAAAAGGGAAGAGGAAGAGTGTGTTACCTCTTTCATTTTTCTTGTTTGTAATATGTTAGTGAATTAGATCTGTCTCAGAGATCTTGAGGGAGGGGTCTCAATCTGCTTTCCTGAAAGTAGATTTGTTATTTCTGCTTTATAGAATCTGTTTAATTATGTTTATTAAATAAACCCTTCTAATTTGTTATTCCTACTCCATTAGCCATATGTTATCTATTTTGCATTTAATAACATTTCAGTGAAGGGCGGGATTATTGGATTTAGAGGTGCCAAATGAACCAAATTGATTTTTTAATATTTATTTTTTAGTTTTCGGCAGACACAACATCTTTGTTGGTATGTGGTGCTGAGGATCGAACCTGGGCGGCACGCATGCCGGACAATCGCACTACCACTTGAGCCACATCCCCCCAAATTGATTTTTGCTAACTAGTTACACTGCGTTAATCCAGTTAGTTGTGAGTTGCTCTTTTTCAGCCATTTTCCCCCCCTGGTACTGGGGACTGAACCCAGGAACGATATACAACTGAGACATATCTCCAGCCCTTATGGCCTTTTTTTTTTTTTTTTACTGAGGATTGAACCCAGGGGCCCCCTCTCACTGAGAGCCACATCTCTTGCCCTTTATATTTTTATTTTGGGACAGGGTCTCACTAAATCCCGGAGACTGGCCTCAAACTTGTTATCTTCCTGCCTCAGCCTCCCAAGTAGCTAGGATTATAGGCATGCACCACCATGCCTAGCCTTTCAGCATTTTTCTAATTGTAGATATTAAACCAGGCTTGTATGTGGTAGGGTGGGGTAGTTGAGAGATGGATAAGCCAGAAGAGGGAGGGAAGCTCATTTTAGAAGAGGTGGTTGAGGACCTTCTTTATAAGGCCTCTGCTTATCTTAAGCATTTAAGTCTCATTTTATATCATGCCAGTATATATCTAGTTCCCATATTTATCTGTGATCAGGGATTAGGGAGAGTCTGGATATTTGAAGTAACTGAAAAGCGTTTAATTTTTGATTTCTACCATTTGTTTCTTCCCCTCTCGATGTTATAGCCAGCAGCAGCCTGGAGCAGCAACCCTTGGAAAGAAATTTTACATCGGCCATTATAATACAACCTGATAAGTATTACAGAACTTATCAGATTGTATTGTAATTGTCTGTGTATATACCTGTCTCTCTTCTATGTTTACAGACTGTAAGCTCCTTGTGGGCAGGGATGGTGTCTTTGTCAGAGCCCAGCCTGGCACATTAGTAGGCCTCAGTAAATGTTTATTGGATGAATACGTGAATGAGTCATCAACAAACATTTATTGTGTGTCTGCTAAAGTGGTCTCCGCAGGCTCTGGATGGTCAACTATTTCTTCAAAATGTATGTGGTCAGAAACTTACTAATTCTTTCTAGTTATATATGCATCTTCTCAAGAGGTTTTCATGAGGCAGTGGAATATTTGGACTTCAGTCCTTGGTATTTGCAGATGTGATGTTGCTCCTGTTGGTACTGCTGACAGTTTCTTCCTTGGTGGGGGGGATAATTGCCAGAGCCTCATCCTCAAGGGTCAGTGTTGGCTAAATGATTCCTATTTGTAGCTTGTCCCTTTTATTTTATTTTAGTTGAGCTTTTCCTGTGCTAGGGATCGAACTCAGCACCTTGTATAGGTACACGCTCTACCACTGAGCTACATCCCCAGCCCACTCATCCCTAGGCCATCCTCTAAATAGTATTCCTACACAGGATTTCACATTTTAGATCAGGGGTGAGCAAAACCTAGGTTGCCTATTTTTGCGGAGTTCTAAAAGAACACATTCTTTGACATTTCACCTGGGGCTGCTTGAGCACCATAAAGGCAAGGAGAATTGGGTTGTGTTAGATATGTTGTGGCCCCACAAAAGCCTATACAGAAAAGTTTATAAGGCCTGAAAAATTTATAAAGTTTATAAAAGTTTATAAAACTCTGGCTGGGGATGTGGCTCAAGCGGTAGCACGCTCGCCTGGCATGCGTGTGGCCCGGGTTCGGTCCTCAGCACCACATACAAACAAAGATGTGTCCGCCGAAAACTAAAAAATAAATATTTAAAAAAAAAAAGTATAAAACTGAAAAATTACTAGCCTTATTCTGGATCATCACCCATCAGTGATGGTTTATTCCCTATTTCATTCACCAGAGATCCTTTTAGCATTTCAGAAACTCATATATTTATTGATTTCATTTGTTATTTCTTGTGACAAGTCTTTTTCCAGTTTTACAGATGGGTCAACTAGGACATATTTTAAACTTGGAGATTATATGGCCTCTTCCAGGGTCCTGTTTGATCAGTTGTACAGGGTGCTTCAACATAAAATATTGAGCTTGAACTCTAGAAATTCCTTTTATTATATCCTAATTTGAAACACAAGGGGGCTGGGGATATAGCTCAGTTGGTAGAGTGCACACTTAACGTGCACAAGGCCATGGGTTCAATCTCCAACACCACCAAAAAAAACCAAGGTTATTCTTTGATGCCTTCTCCCTCCCTGCCAGCTGTCTACACAGCTGTTTGCAGTGAGAATATCGAAAATAAGGAATTAGTATGGGATAAGGCAGAAAAGAAAGGTAGGCCGAATGAAGCAATGTTTAGAGAGTTCTTTTTCTTTTCTATTTATTTAAACCTGGTGCTATGTATCTAACCCAGGGCATCCTGCATGCTCATGCTAGGCAACTGCTCTACCCTTGAGCTATATTCCCCCGCTCAGTGTTTAAAGGGTTCTAATGCAAATTTTTTTTTTTTTTTTTTTTTTTTGGGGTACCCAGGATTGAACTCTAGGGCACTCAACCACTGAGCCACATCCCCAACCCTATTTTAAATTTCATTTAGAGACAGGGTCCGCACTCATTGAGTTACTTAGTGCCTTGCTTTTACTGAGGCTGTCTTTAAACTTGCAATCCTCCTGCCTCAGACTCTAGAGCCACAGCTCTAATGCTTTTTTTTGGGGGGGGTGTACCAGGGATTGAACTTGGGAGCACTCAACCACTGAACTGCATCCCCAGCCCTATTTTGTATTTTATTAGAGACAGGATCTCACTGAGTTGCTTAGCACCTCTCTGAGGCTGGCTTTTGAAGTAGGGATCCTCCTCCCTCAGCCTCCAGAGCTGCTGGGATTACAGTCCTACGCCACCATGCCCAGCTCTAAAGTTAATATGGACTGGTAATTCATCCAGATTTACTTAGGTATCTAGCTAGAATTTCAAAGAGTTTAGAGCCCTACCCTTTAGCCTCTCAGCCTGATTTGTATTATTTTAGTAACCTACCTTTGAGCACAGTGTGATTGATTTCATCTCATTAAAATGTTATACTGGGGGGGGCTGGGTTGTGGCTCAGTGGGAGAGCACTCACCTAGCATGGGCGAGGCACCCGGTTTGATCCTTAGCACCACATAACAATAAATTAAAAAAATAAAGGTATTGTGTCTAACTAAACTAAAAAAAAATATATTAAAAAAAATGTTAAAGGGGCTGGGGTTGTGGCTCAGTGGTAGAGCGCTTGATCCTCAGCACCAAATACAAATCAATAAACTAAAGGTATTGTGTCCAACTACAATTAAAAAATAAATATTAAAAAAAGACTTAAATTAAAAAAAATGTTAAAGAGGGGCTGCCTATTACATGGGGAGGGCGCTGAGTTCTGTCCTCAGCACCACATAAAAATAAAATAAAGGTATTATGTCCAACTACAACTAAAAATATTTTTAAAAATGTTAAATAGGGGGCTGGGGATGTGGCTCAAGTGGTAGCATGCTCTCCTAGCATGCGTGAGGCACTGGGTTTGATTCTCAGCACCACATAAAAATAAAGGTATTGTGTCCACCCAAAACTGAAAAATAAATATTAAACAAAATGTTAAATAGCTTTAGGTCAGACAATTTAGAAAGCTAAATTTTAAAAAAAGAATGCTTGTCTAGGATTATCGCCCAGTGGTAGAGTATTTGTCTAACCAGGCCCTGGGCTTCATCCCAGCACCACATTATTTTGAGACAGTCTTGCTAAATTGCACAGGCTTGCTTTGAACTTATGATCCTCCTGCCTCAGCCTCCCAGGTTATCTGAGATTGCAGGCATATTTCATCACACTCAGCTTCCCAGCATTATATAAAGAAAAATTTCAAACATAACATACATACATACATACAGAAAAGTTGATAAGAATCTTATAGTGATAACCTGTATGCCCATAATATTTTACAGTATTTGCTTTATCACATTAACTCATCTTTGTTGGATAGGTCTTTTTTTGGGGAAGGATACTAGGGATTGAACTCAGGGGCACTTTGCGTTCCTGAGCCAGGACACATGATCACTGAGCCACGTCCCCAAACCTGTTTTGTATTTTATTTAGAGACAGGGTCTCACTGAGTTGCTTAGTGCCTTGCTTTTGCTGAGGCTGGCTTTGAACTTGCGATCCTCCTGCCTCAGCCTCCAGAGCCGCTGGGATTACAAGCATCTTCCACGGCCCCAGGCTGGATAGGTCTTTAAAATACTTCTGTCATCCATTTGAATCTCATCTGTATCTAATGCATTACAGTGCTGAAAAATATTCTTTTGATTTTTACCTGAATCTTCTAGGTTGGGATGAATATTATTATAGCCTAACTATGTATCAGCAGGTCTACCTGGGAATGAGAGATCCAGAGAGAGGGAGTCTTTTTGTTTTTGAAAGAAAATGGCTGCATTTCACTGTTATATACTGGAAATAGTAGGGGGAAGGAAAGATGGAAGCCCAAGCCCAATGTGTACACTGCCCTGCACTTCACTCCCCTCCCCCTGCCTTTTTTTTTTTTGGGTATTGGGGATTGAACCCTTGGGCATTTAACCACTGAGCCACATTCCAAAGCCCCCACTCCTTTTTTTGTATTTTTACTAGAGACAGAATCTTGCAGAGTTGCTTAGGGCTTCACTAAGTTGCTGAGGCTGGCTTTGAACTCACAATCCTGCCTCAGCCTCCTGAGCCGCTGGGATTATAGGCCTGTGCCACAGAGCCCAGCTCATTCACTTATTTGGCTTTGGGGCAAGTGGGTTTTAAAAGGGAGCTTCTTTCATTTGGTTCATTTTTTTTTTTTTTTAAGAGAGAGGCGGGGAGAGAGAGAGAGAATTTTTTTTTAATATTAATTTTTTAGTTTTCGGCGGACACAACATCTTTGTTTGTATGTGGTGCTGAGGATCAAACCTGGGCCTCACGCATGCCAGGCGAGCGCGCTACCACTTGAGCCACATCCCCAGCCCCTCATTTGGTTCTTTAATTTAAAACTTGATAAAGTGCCAGTGAGATGATATTCAGCAGTAATATAAATAATTTTGGAATTCCAATAGTATTTTTTTATTTTAATACTTTTTGGTGCTGGCAGTTGAACCCAGGTCTTTGCACACACTAGGCAAGTGGTCTACCACTGAGCTGCCAGCTCTAATGTTTTTTTCTTTAGGTATGATTATATAATTGTCATTTATTTTCCTACAGGTAATTTTTCTAGTTTCAGTATTTTCGCATCAAAATTAAATGGGAAAAAAAATAAAAAAGTTTAAAACTAAATCACTTGGCCTTTTCTCTTCTTGTCTCCTCCCAGTTCGAAATGCTTGCATCTCTTGATGGCCAGCATCCTCTTGGATCTGCAGTTTGGTTCAACGCATTCAAGTCTTAGCACAATCTTCTTTGTGGTTTTAGCCTTCTTGCGGAAAATTGGCTTTGTCTGCCCACCATATCCACTCTGCTTCCGATCATCGCGCCTCTTTCCTTGGGCGTAAAGGGAATCCTTGCCCTTCTTATACTGGGTCACTTTGTGAGGCTGGTGCTTGCCACACTTTTTACAGAAAGTCCTTCGAGTTTTAGGTACATTGACCATCTTTACAGCAGAGGTGTCCACGTGATGAAAACCAAGCCAAAGCAGCATATCTCGCCTTCCCTTTCTTACAAGGTCCTTCCCCCCGGTTCTGAGCAATGGAGACTCGTGTTTAAACCGCTACAGTCCAGCTGCTAACTTACCCGGAGATCTCACAGCCGCAGCTCTCGCCTTGCCACGCTTGCGCCTTCTCTTAATAGTTTTATGTTAACAACAGCCATAATTTTAATTAGGAAGCACCATGAACTGAAATTATCAAGTACATGATAGTGGTAAATGTTTATCTCCCTTGATTTAAGCTCAAGGTTAGAGAGACCATGTCTTGTTCATCTTTGTAGTTGTTTGTTTCTATTCATGTCTAGAACTATACCCCCAAATATGCATTTATGCATTTAAGGATATTTGAAAAGATTTAGTGATGACCTGGGTGTGGTGTTACATGCCCATAATTCTCAACACTCAGGAGACTGAGGCAGGAGGATTGTACAGTCAAGGACAGTATGGGTACTTTAGCTAGACCTGATCTCAAAATAAAATAAAAAGGACTGGGGATATAGCTCAGTGGTGGGGTGCTTGCCTAGTATGCATGAGGCCCTGGGTTCAATTCCCAGTACTGCCGAATAAAAAGGTTTAGAAATGGGCATGTTTATAGTGTTCATAGCAATGAGCAATGCAAAACTTGTTCATGAATAGGAATTTGGTAAAATAAATTATGATGTACTTACATAATAAAACAAAATCATGAAAAATAAAAATAATCGTGTAGATGAATATTTGACTTTCTAGGTCTCATGGTCACTAGTAGATTAGAGAACAGATTTTTTTTTTCTTTTTTGGTGGTGTTGAGTGGTGAGTGAAATAGTTATAAAATGAACCCTAGGAAACCGCTCCTTGAGGTTTGAATTGAGGATTGCCTGCATCTTATAGTAACAGGAAACCAAACCTGGCAGCATTAACTAGTGCTACCAACATCTAATGATAAAAATTAGTAGCCTAAGCTGAATTGCCAGATTTCTTTGTTGCATTTTGTTCTAAGCAGCAAGGGACTGGGAAATGTACAAGCAGTAGGCAGCTTTTTTAGAAAGAAAGATCCTTGAGTGGTGGTTATGGGGGGAGGGGTATATCTTGGCTTGTCCTGTGGACTCTTACTCCTCAGAGCCTTGTTTCTCCAGGACTGAGTCTTAGGGTTAGGGGACTAGCCACTAGTCCACTTCGCTCCTTGTGTTCCTTTAGATAGTCCAGACAGATGGGTCTTCCTTTTCATTTTTGATGAGTCCTGGTGGGAATGGAACTTATTAATAACAAGTTTTATTACCTAACAGTGTGACCCAGATACTGATGACTAGATGAAGAAGGTTTTGTTCACCTTTTGGGGCCTGTTTTAGTCAGGAGTATAGAATATAGGTTCATAAACTGCCATATGTAGCAAGGTTGCTAAGGGATAAAGTTTGCTCCTTATTCAAAGATGGGGATATTGATGGGAAATAGGAAGGTCAGAGTCAGAGTTTACATCTGAGTTCTAACACCCTGGTATAGTCACTTAGTGCCTCTGCACCCAAGTTAACTAACCTCATTTAAAATAGGAGCAAGTATCCTTTATTAAATAAAAATTATAGACCTTGCAACAGCTTTTGCCAGATAAAGCACATAATTGTGGGGCTGGGGATATGTAGCTCAGTTGGTGAAGTGCTTGCCTTGCATGCACAAGGCCCTGGGTTCAACCCCCAGCACCAAAAAAAAAGCATAATTGTGATGCTAATGTGAATACTTAGCAAGAGTGAAATCTGAGGTCCATGGTATGGCTGGATAGAGAGGACTTAAGGTGTTAAAAATAAATCTAGATCTTAAAGCTTGACTGTTTCATGTTATATGTTTCTTTTCCCTGTCAGACAGGTGATGCGTAATGCTGTCAGAAAGCATGTGCTGGTGAAGAAATACATTGAGCCCTGCTTGGTCCAGTGAGGTTATTAGTGAATTGGGAGAGGCTCAAATCAGCATGCAAACTATTGTGAAATTTTGGTAAGTGGTCAGTGATTTTGATGGTCTTGCCCAATTAGTAGGAATGGGACAAGGAAGGTGGTTTAAATAGGGAGTAGGTAATTACTTGACATTTTCCCATTATGATCTGAAAACATGTTAAGATCAGGATGTACTAGAGAATAAAGAATCTAGCCTATTTTCCCCATTCTCCCATTTTTACAGATAGGAGAATTGGAAATTGCTTGAGATTATATTGGTAGAAAATAGATTTGAATTCAAGTCAAGACTGTTGTCTTTTACTCAGTGCTTCTATTTAGATTCCATCCAAATATAAGGAGGCCATGTGAGACAGAAATTATTTTATTTCACAATAAAAAATTATTGTTGTGTCAATGCTATAATTATTATTATTTTTTTGCAGCACTGGGGATCGAACCCAGGACCTCATACATGCTAGGCAAGCACTCTACCATTGAGCTACATCCTCAGTCCTCACACTAAAGATTTTTGTAATAGCTTCTGAGATTGTACTTACCTGATGATGGAAATTTCCATGGTATAAAATATTGTTATGCATAAAGTTAGTTACTTGGTGCTTGTTAAACATGCAGATTCCTGGGCAGCTAGAAACCTTTTCATTAGTCAAAAGCAAAATAAGGATCTGCCTGTTTCTTGTATTATTTTTAGGTACTGGGGATTGAACCCAGGGGCCCTCTACCAGTGAGCTTCATCCCCCCCCCTCCCTTTTTTTTTTTTTTTTTTTAACAATTTTTGTGTCAGTTTTATTAAGGTACAATTAACATACAGTAAGATTTGCCAATTTGTTTTTTTGTGTGTGTGTATGAGGTGCTGGGGATTGAATCCAGTGGCCTTGTGCCTGCGAGGCAAGTACTCTACCAACTGAGCTATATCCCCAGCCCATTTTTAACAATTTTTGCCCATCGCTTTTTTTAAAGAAAAATCTTCAATGTTTTTTTTTAATATATTTATTTTTATTTGTTTATTTTTATGTGGTGCTGAGGATTGAACCCAGGGCCTCACACATGCGAGGCAAGCTCTTTACCACTGAGCTACAACTCCATTCCCATCCCGAGCCCTTTTTCTAATAATTTTTTTTTTTTTATTTTTAAGACAGGTTCTTGCTAAGTTGCCAAGAGTCTTGCGAAGTTGCTCAGATTGGCTTGAAACTTGTGATCCTCCTGCTTCAGCCTCTGGAGTTGCTGGGATTACAAGTGTGTACCACCACACATGGCTCTGCCTGCTCAGCAAATTCACCAGAGTGCCAGGATCAATCACTATTTCTGAGGATATCCTGGTGAGGCAGTTTGGAAACCTTGGTAAGTTGTGAGTAGTTTCTTTGGTAGTAGAGAAGGGAAAGTGGTCATGATGTGGCACTTTCAGCCTTCTTTCAGCAGATAGTTATTAAGTACTTACTAAATGCTAGAAACTGTTCTTGACATTAACAAAGTCACAGAACTTTAATTCTTGTGAGTTTGGACAAAAGGATAAATAACCAATAAATGTGAAATGTGGACTGGGGATATAACTCAGTGGTCAAGCACTTGCCTAGCATGTGTGAGGCCCTGGGTTTAATCTGCAGCTCTGCCCCGACCATCAAAAAAGAGTAAAATATTGAGATTTTTATATTGGATTTTTTCCCATGGTGAAGTGAAAAATTGCATTTAAAATGGTTGAGTTAAACTGTGCAACATCGTGTGTTTTTCTCCCTTCTATTCATTTTCCCTTTTTATACCTGCCACTGTTTCTTAATGCAATGGAGGCTGACCTAGCTGAATGCAGATAATAATATTTATTTATTTATTTATTTTTGTAACTCTTTATTAGGCTGAATTGTGAAGGCATATCTTTGAAAAGTGTTTCAGAGTCCAGCAAATGTTCCATGTGAGTGACCACATAGAAGAAGAGAAGGGGGTTCGCAGTGATTAAGGTAATATAGTGAAAAAGGTAAGTAGGAGATGACTCCTGTCAGGGAGGCTCTTAGAAATGCCATTTTCAAACCACTTAGAAAGCCTGAAACTTTCTCTAAAATGTATTCTCAAAATAGTTTGGGGGGATATATGTATTTACTCAGTTTGTGATCACCACTGCTGAGGATCAGAAGAACTGAAATGGTTCCTAAGTAACCAAGATGGCATAAACTCCAGAATTTTGGTGTTGGGGCTCAAACCCAGGGCCTTGTGCATGTTAAGCTCATGTCCTATCCCTGGGTTACACTCCCAGCCCGTGAGCTTCTGGTTTTGTAAGGTTTTATTGGAATGTAGTTATCATTCATTATTGTCTGTTTTTTTTTTTTTTTTTCTACAGCAGGATCTTGTGAGAGAGACTCTATGGTCTGTAGAGCCTGAGGTATTATCATGTGACTCTTTATAGGAAGTTTGCCAACTCCTGGTATAGGTTAAATGTATTATGTCCAAAATCGTCCTTATCCCACTTTCTTTATATGGGGTATGTGTTTACAGCTGATCCTAGGATATATGGAATCAATTTGCTTTTTAATTTCTTTTCAAACTCTCCAAGAAAGTACATTCACAAATTATAAATTTAAGAAATATATAGAAGGAACTATGTTTTATATGCTTCCTTGTAGTTAATTTATTTATTATATATGGTTCTTGCATTACTTCTTTTTTTTATAACCATTTTAAAATTAGGCCATTCATAAGTATCCAGAAAGTTATAACTTATGATCCCTACTTTAACCTTTTCCTGATTTTAGTATACTTCCCCACTGTGGCTTTTTTGCATATTTCTGCAGATGTTTTGACTTTTCTGGGGAGAAAAGTCACCTTAGAACATAATTTTCTGTAGTTCTATATTGGGGAAATATGCAACTTATAGCTTTTTGTGCATTTAATGCCATTTATTGAGCATCTACTAGGAGCCTATGCATACTTTCATAGAATCTGCTCAAACCCAAAGATTTGCATGTTAATCAGTTATCTAGTTATCTATTTTTTTTTTCTTTCCATACCAGAGATTGAACTCAGGGACATTCAATTATTGAGTCACATCCCCACATCCCCATCTCTTTTTATTTTTTGAAACAGGGCCTCACTAAATTGCTAGGATTGGCTTTGAACTTGTGATCCTCCTTCTTCAGCTTCCTGAGCTGCTGGGATTAAAGATGTGTTGGCAAGTTATCTCCATTTCAAGGATGAATCTTTGAAAGCACAAGTGACTTTTCCTAAATCATATTGCTAATTAGTAGTACAAATGGGACTTAAAAGAATATGTTACTCTTTGGTACTGGGAATTGAATTCAGTGCCTCACACATGCCAGGCAAGCACTCTACTACTGAGCTACATCTCCAGCCCTCCTTATTTGTTTACTTATTGGTTGGTTGGTCTTGGATTTGAACCCAGGGTCTTGTGCATGCTAAGCATATACTCTACCTCTACCCCTTAGCTGCACCCCAGCCCCCCTTTTCTTTTCTCTCTCTCTCTCTCTTTTTTTTGGTACCAAGGATTGAATCCAGGGACACTTAACCACTGAGCCACATCCCACACCTCCCCCCCCTTTTTAAATTATTGCCCTTTTTTTAACACCTTTATTTTTATTTATTTTTATGTTGTATTGAGGATGGGACCCAGTGCCTCCACATGCTAGGCAAGCGCTCTTCCACTGAGCTACAACCCCTGCCTCTGTTCTTTCTTTTTTTTTTTTTGGAGCTGGGGATTGAACCCAGGGCCTCATGCATGCTAGGAAAGTGCTTTTTCACCAAGCTATCTCCCTCCCTTCCCCCAGCCCTTTTTGAAGAGCTTTATTTTATTTATGTATTTTTATGTGGTGCTGAAGATCAAACCCAGTGTCTCACACATGTTAGGCAAGCGCTTTACTACTATCTCCCCAGCCCTTCTTCAGCCCTTGTTTATATTTTATTCAGAGATGGTCTTGCTGAGTTGCTTAAGGCCTCAATAAGTTGCTGTTGCTGGTTTGAACTTGCAAATCCTCTGCCTCAGCCTTCTGAGCTGCTGGATTATAGGAGTGTACCACTGGGCCCAGCCCTTTTTCTCTTCCTTTTCTTTTCTTTCTTTTTTTTTTTTTTGTGGTTTATGTTGCTGGGGATCAAACCCAGGGCTTTGCCACATGCTAGGCAAGTATTTAACCACTAAGCTATAGCCCCTAGCCCTTCCATTTTCTATGTAAGTATTATCAAAGTTTTTTTTTTTTTTTTTTTTTTAAAGAGAAAGAGAGAGAGAACTTTTTAATGTTTATTTATTTTTTTGGTTTTCGGCGGACACAACATCTTTGTTTGTATGTGGTGCTGAGGATCGAACCCGGGCCGCACGCATGCCAGGCGAGCGCGCTACCACTTGAGCCACATCCCCAGCCCCTTGGGAAAATTCTTTATGAGAGACTTCGTTGAAGTGAAATATTCACTGTAATCAGGAGTCAGAAGCCAGTCACCTAACCCTACATGTTCTCCTTCCCTTGCATATCAGGCTATTCATTCTGTTTTCCTTTTCAACAACTTAGGGTAAATTGGTAATACTGTTCTATCTAAAACCCTTCTCAGCATTTTCTCCTTTCTGTCTCTTTCTGTCTGAGGTCAGCCACATATCTACTCTCTAGAAACCTTATTGTCTTTTTTTTTCTTTTGCTGGTAATTGAACACAGGGTCTTGTGCATGCCAGACAGGCACTCTACCAACTAAGCTATATCCCCAGCCCATAGAAACCTTACTGTCTTATTTTGGTCAAGTCCAATGATAGCTTTTTATAGGTCCTTATGCTCAAAGAGACTAGATGAGGAGATGAGGAGTTTTTTTACTTAATAGCTAATGATTTTGGGGTGACTGGGATTCAGGGAGGGTCTGGGAACCTTTAAGAATTCTGTTAATTTTCTCTTTTTTGAAATGGGGTCTCTCCATGCTGTCCTGGCTGGGCTCAAGTGATTTTTTTTTTAAAGAGAGAGAGAGAGAATTAATTTTTTTAATATTTATTTTTCAGTTTTTGGTTGACATCTTTATTTTATTTTTATGTGGTGCTGAGGATCGAACCCAGCGTCCCATGCATGCCAGGTGAGCATGTTACCGCGTGAGCCACATCCCCAGCCCTCAAGTGATTTTTCATGTCTTAGCCCCTCTAAGGCTTCTGAGTAGCCGAGACTGAAGATTGAAGGACTTCCTACCCCAACTTTTTAGAATTTGAATGTCAAATGGGGCCTGATAAATCTTCCTAGAGAGAAGAATTCCCAGCATTGGTATATTTGGATAACCATGATTCCTCTGTAGTAGTGATAGAACACATTGATGTGACTATTGTTTGTGTAGCAGAATATTAAAATATGGTAGGCATAATGGTACCCCACAGAAAATGAGCCATAAAAGGGCCTTTTAGAATCAGGATTTTTTTTCCCCCTGTGGCACTTGAGATTGAACCCAGGGGCCCTATGGCACCTAGGTCCGTCCCCAGCCCTTTTTACTGTTTTGATACAGGATCATGCTAAATTGGTCTTGAACTTACAGTCCTCCTATCTCAGCCTCCCATGTTGCTGGGGTTACAGATATGTGCCACCATTCCTGGCTGTGGCTCATTTGTTTTAGGTTACATAAATGGAGAATTTTAAAGACTATAAGATCGTCTCTTTTTTGGGGGGGTCTGTAGGTAATGGTACTGGGAATTGAACCCAGAAGGGCTTTAAACTGAGCTGTATCCCCAGGTGTTTTTATTTTTATTTGGCGACAGGTCTCACAGCCCAGGCTGTCCTTGAATTTAAAACCCTTCAGTCTCAACCTCTCCAGTTGTTGGGATTATAGGCATGTGCCACTGTACTAGCCTACAAGACCTTCTCGATTGTACTACCCTTTAATAGGTGGAGTAGTACTCAGCATTGGGCTTTCAGACTCAAAATGGTATGTAATCAAAAAGGCCTTGCAGTCTTTGTTTGTATGTGGTGCTGAGGATCGAACCCGGGCCGCACGCATGCCAGGCGAGCGCATTACCGCTTGAGCCACATCCCCAGCCCATATTTTTTAATTTTTAATTTTTTTTTTTTTTTGCAGTAATGGGGATTGAGCCTAGGGGTACTTTAACACTGAGCTATATCCCTACCTTTTTTTAAAAATTTTATTTTTTTGTTGTTGTTATTCATGGACAGAATGTCTTTATTTATTTTTATGTGGTGCTAAAAATAGCCCCACACATGATAGGCAAGCGCTCTTCCACTCAGCCCCAGCCCTATATCCCTACCTTTTTTATTTCTTATTTTGAGACAGGGTCTTGCAAAGTTGCCACAGCTGGCCTCGAACTTGAAATCTTCCTCAGCTTCCTCAGCCTCCTGAGGTGTGCACCACTAGGCCCTGCTAAGTAAAAATTTCCTTTGTGTATTGGTGATTGAATCCAAGGGCCCTTTACCACTGAGCTATAGCTCAGTCTTTTTTTTATTTTGAGACAGGATCTTGCTAAATTGTTGAGAGTCTTACTAAATTGCTGAGACTGATCTCAAGCTTGTGATCTTCCTGCCTCAGCCTCCAGAGTCACTGGATTATACCATGCCTAGCTAAAAATGTTTTTAAAGACAGGAGCTGGGGTTGTGGCTCAGTGGTAGAGTGCTCGCCTTGCACGTGTGAGACCCTGGCTTTGATCCTCAACACTGTATAAAGATAAATAAGTGAAATAAAGGTATTGTCCAACTACAACTAAAAAGTAAGTATTAAAAAAAAAGGACAGGGCCAGAGAGATTATTATCATTATAAGTGTTTTGTGATCATTTGTACTTTTGATATATTACAATACCTCGTGGTGATCCTCAAAGAAATAAAAAAAAGGAAAATGCAATATAATGGGGACCATATAGAGGTATTCATAGATGCATATAGTTCTAAGTCTGTCCCATATAGTAATGGCTTACATTGATACCTCTTTACCAATGATAATGTTATGCTATTGTAAATGTCCACAGGTTGAATTTCTCTTATCTGAAATGTTTGGGACTAGAATTATTTAGATTCAGAGTTTTTAATATTTTGGGTGTATTTATATACTGGTTATACGTAATCTGAAAATCTGAAATCCAAAATAATCTGTCTTGCATTTAGGAGAATTTTGGAGATTATTTTGCATCTTGGATTTTTAGATTAGGTATGTTCAACCTGTTATAGATTCTCTCACATCTACATTTTTCTGTAGGACCTAATTTTGGAAGTTATTCATAAGAAACCCCTTGTGAAGTCACATATACATTTTGTTGTCATTGTTTATAGGCATCATTTGTTCTAATCACTTGTTGTCCTTTCCCTTGTACCATATCATAACATAGTATTCTTTTTTTTTATTATTTATTTTTTTCATAACATAGTATTCTAACTTGACTAACTTCACTAAGTTTATTTGGAATAGTCTTAATTAATTTGGCAAACAATAAGAATATAAATCTCCCGGCCAGGCGCGGTGGCTCATGCTGATAATCCCAGCAACTCGGGAGGCTGAGGCAGCCTCAGCAATGGCCAGGCACTAAGCAATTCAGTGAGACCCTGCCTCTAAATAAATACAAAAAAGGGCTGGGGATGTGGCTTAGTGGTCGAGTGCCCCTGAGTTCAATCTCCGGTACCAAAAAAAAAGAATATAAATCTCCCTCATCCTGCTAGGTCTAAGTCTAAGCTTTCTGCTAGTTTTAGGTTTAGTCCAGCTGTCATGTAAAGGAATTCTCTGTGGCAGATGTCGGCAAACATTTTCTGTAAAGAGCAAGATAATATCTATTCAACTCTGCAGTTGTAGCATGAAAGCATCCGTGGACAATATGGACATGATTATGTTCTGATAAAACTTCATTTACAAAAACAGGCAATAGGTGAGATTTGGACTACAGGCCAGTGTGCTGTTCCTTATTACTTTACAGTATATGTACTCAGACTTTTAGAACAGAATTATACAATAAAGCAAACATTCAGAGCGATTTTAGTCATATTCTAATAAAATAACAATAATACATCTGTACTTGAACCAGCAGTGGAAAGTCTCTTATGATCTATACCATAAGTGCATGGTAGAGTGACACATAATCTTCATGGGCCATGCTATTACTATCCCCATAGAGGAATCTCCTTCCTGTGGGTCTTTGCATGGCTTAGAAGGGACATTGTCTTTGTTACTTATTCTTATCCTTACATTATCAGCCCCAGTATTTGCCTTTTTCACCAGTATGTCTTCTACCTTACTGATGCTAGTAGAGGAATCTAATGGGTTACAGTCACTGTCCCAACAGTCAAAGTATAGGGGTCCTGTGGTTTTGGTAATTTGCTATGTCAATCTCTAAATTTGGCTTTCAGGATTTGGAGGAATTAATCCTTCCATTGCTATCTCAAAAGGTGATCTAGACAATGGAACAGAGACCTCTCAATCAGGTAAGTGATTATTGAACATGAAGGCAACTATTTTTCTTTGGCCTTTTTGTTGTATTTGTTAATAGGTTTCCTAATAATGAACTAACCTTGCATTTCTGGAAGACAATTTCTACTTTTCAAGGATTTTTAATTATATTTGTTAAATTTATTATTTGAGTTTTGTTTTCTATTTTTTTAAATTAATATTATCTTTCGAGGTTCAAAAGTGAGTTAGTTTGGGGTAGGATGACAGTCTTTGTCTGTTAATGTTAGGATCATGAGTGAAATTTTTTGTTGCTCTCTATTTAAGCATATCAGACATCTTGCATGCAGTTAAATGTGCTTTATTTACTTTTTGTGGTGCTGGGGATTGAACCCAGGGCCTTGTGCATGTGAGACAAGCACTCTACCAACTGAGCTATATCCCCAGCCCTTAAATATGCTTTAATAACATGATTTTCAAATTTGTACATACTATCATATAACACTATGAATGTAAAAATCAATTTTGTTTTCTGATATTTGGAACCTTGTTTCAGTTATTACCTTTTTTGTTTTTGTTTGTTTGCTATTCTGGGTCTCTCTAGGCAAGTACTTTACCACTCAGTCATACACTACTCTCCCCATATTTTTTTTTTTCTTTTTTGGGTACTAGAGATTGAACTCAGGCACTGCTTGGTTCTTCCCTGTTGCTAAGGCTGGCTTTGAACTTGTGATCCTCCTGTCTCAGCCTCCCAAGCTGTTGGGATTACAGGCATGTGCCACTGAGCCCGGCCTGCAGTACCCCTTTAATTGTGTGTAAATAGTGCTGTAGTGAACATCCTGTAGATAAGGTCTTCACACATGCTAGGCAACTGCATATTCATGTTTATATTGTAACATTGAATAAAACGTACAGTTCCTCTAGTAGTATGAGCATTCCCATTTTTACATATCCTTACCAATATACTGTATTAAGGTTTTTAATAAATCTGCCAATTGTACAGGTGAAAAAATGTTCTCCTTTGAAAATTCAATATATGTCTTTTTAAAAAAAATTTTTTTAGTTGTAGTTGGACACAATACCTTAATTTAACTTATTTAGTTTTATGTGGTGCTGAGGATCAAACCCAGCGCCTCGCATGTGCTAGGCGAGTGCTCTACTGCTGAGCCACAACTCCAGCCCTCAGTATATGCCTTTGATTCCTAATGAGGTAGAGGAGATAAAAATCTTACTTGGGTCCTAATTTTTTAGTTTCTTTTTCATACTTTTTTTAGATGGTACTGGAATTGAACACAAAGCCTCCAACTTGCTAGGAAGTGCTCTACTACTGAGCTACATTCCTAACCCATTTTTTCAAATTTTTATTTTGAGACAAGGTCTTGCTCAGTTGTCCAGGCTAGTCTTGAACTTGTTATGTTCATCTCTCAGCCTCCTAAGTAAAAATTATAATTTCATATAGCTTAAATATCTTTTTTCCCCATATTTTAAAAGTGATGCATTGTACTTGTACACTGGGATTTGATGTTACATATTCATACACTCACACAGTGTAACAATATAATTTGGCCAATATAATTTCCCAGTATTTCCCCTTTGCCTCTCCTCCTCCCTTCCTCATTCCCTCCAAATGTCTTTTTTTTAATAATGCATTCTCCCTTTTCTTTCCATATTATGAAGATGAATATATTTCATAATTCACTTATGTTTTACTTATTTTTTAATGAGTCTTTTCCAGTGTGGATCTCTTTGGTGTATGGCATGTAATTAATTTTCTAAATGTTCAGCACATTTAGCATTCAAAGAATAAGAGGGGTATCTCAGCAGGAGTTCCAGAATCTTTTTTTTTTTTACACTGGTGTTGAACTCAGGGACACTTGACCACTGAGCCACATCCCCAGTCCTATTTTTTTGTATTTTATTTAGAGACAGGGTCTCACAGAGTTATTTAGTGCCTTGCCCTTTGCTGAGGCTGGCTTTGAACTTGTGATCCTTCTGTCTCAGCTTCCCAAGCCGCTGGGGTTATAGGTGTGTGCCACCACGCCCGGTGAGTTTCAGAATCTTTTTCCAATATTTGACTCCTATCTCCCTCACCCCTACTTCACCCGCCATACTAGAGAGTGAACCTAGGGATATTCTACCATGAACCCCATCCCCAGCCCTCTTTATTTTTTGAGACAGGGTCTTGCTAAATTGCTGAGGCTGACCTCAAACTTGATCCTCCTTCTTCAGCCTCTATCACTCCTGGCTCCAGAGCTCTGCTTTTTTTTTTTTTTTTTTAAATATTTGTTTTAGTTGGACACAGTACCTTTATTTTATTTATGTATTTATTTAAAAAAAATTTTTTTTTTAGTTGTTGTTGGACACAATACCTTTATTTTATTCATTTATTTTTATGTGGTGCTGAAGATTAAACCCAGGGTCTTGCACGTGCGAGGCAAGCACTCTACTGCTCAGCCACAACCCTAGCCCCCTTTATTTTATTTTTATGTGGTGCTGAGGATAGAACCCAGGGCCTCACACGTGCTAGGTGAGCACTGTACCACTGAGCCACAATCCCAGCCCCCAGAGCTCTGCTTTTAACATGAATAAATATTATCTCTGTCCCTCTTTTTTTTTTTAATATTTATTTTTTAGTTGTAGTTGGACACAATACCTTTATTTTATTTTTTTTTATGTGGTGCTGAGTATCGAACCCAGGGCCTTGCATGTACTAGGCAAGCGCTCTACCGCTGAGCCACAACCCCAGCCCCTCAGTCCCTCTTTTCTGTAAGTGTCTTGTCAGTTTTGCTACCACTGGTTTGTGTTCTTTATGACAGGAATTGGCAAACTTTTTCTATCTATGGCCTGATACTGAGTAGTTTAGGCTCTGGGGGCTATGTGGGTTCTTTCAGTGTCTCAGGGAAAGCAGCTATAGACCATGCATAAATGAATGTGACTGTTTCAACAACAATAGTTGTTGTTCCAACAACTATTTACAAAATATAGCTGGTAGCTGCATTTGGTCTGTGGGCTATAATTTGCCAATGCCTGCTTTTTATGTCATTTTACTGTTTTATTTTTGGTAGTACTGGGGATGAAACCCAGGGTTTAATGCATGCTAGGCTAGGCAAGTCTACCATTTACTGAGCTATTTGCGACATCCCCAGCATTCCATCTCCCTGCCCCTTTTTTTATTATACTGGGGGTTGAACTAAGGTCTTCACACATGCTAGGCAACTGCTCTACCAATGAGCTACGTTCCCAGCCCCCAGTCCCAGCTTTCAGCTCTTTTTAATTTTTATTTTGACTTAGGATTTTGCTAAATTGCCCAGGCTGGACTTGAACTTGTAATCCTCTTTCCTTAGCCTCCCAAATGGCTGGGGATATAGGTGTGTGCCACTACAATGAATCTCCCTATAACCTTTTAGATTACTATTTTCACCTCCAGTCTTTGCTACTTATTACCTGTTTCCATATTTCACATTTCTGAAGTTTTGGAGAGCACAGGTGGTAACTAAACTGCATGCTTTGCATGTTATTTGTATCATGTGCTGGGATGTACAAGTTGTGCTTGCCTGCCTGCCTCCCTGCTTCAGTATGACTAATTTCACGTAGCTACATTGTTTTTGAGGGTCTGTTTTTTGCAATTCAGATTTCATTTCAAGAAATAAGCTGATTTATATCAATTTTAAAATGTCCAAAGAACTTCTTTTTGGTGTGGTATCATTTCTGTGATTCAGTTTAGCTTGTTTTTGATTCCATGTGCTTGTGGTCTTGCTTTCTACTATAGACTTGTTCCTCATAATCTGTCTTCCTTTACCCCCTAGCTTCTGGAGGCTTGTTTTTTTTCAATTTGAATCTCAATTGAGCTTTTGTGATCTCTGTAGACATGGCCTTCATTTTAGCTCATCTTTGTCTTCATAGACTATCTGTTTTAACTCTAGGGTGTTCAGTTGTCATTAAAGTGAGAATGTCTGATTCCTTTTGAGTTCTTAAGTTTCCTGAGATTGTAGGGGTTGCAATTTAACACATCCAGGGCATTTCCTCCTATTGATTGCTAAATGTGACCATCCTTTTTTCTTTATATATAATTCAAAATTGCTTTAGCCTAACATAATCCAGTTACTATGAATATTTCTAGTATCATTTAATTGCTCTAAAACTAGAACTCAGCTCAGTCATAGAGCATCTAGAAGTATCATACCTGTCCACAAGTTCATAGTCAGTTCCCCAACTATATTCCTCCTGAGGGACTCTTTTGCTTCTTCTTTTTTTTTTTTTTAATATTTATTTTTTAGTTGTAGGTGGACATAATAAATCTTTTTTTTTTTTAATATTTATTTTTTAGTTTTAGGTGGACACAATATCTTTACTTATTGCTGAGAATCGAACCCAGTGCCTTATGCATGCTAGGCAAGCATGCTACCACTTGAGCCACATCCCCAGCCCTGGACATAATATCTTTATTTCATTGTTATGTGGTGGTGAGGTTTGAACCCAGTGCCTCAAGTGTACTTGGCGAGTGCTCTAACACTGAGCCACAACCCCAGCCCCTCTTTTGCTTCTTAATATTGGTATTAGTTGGGTACTTTTCCTTTTCCTCTTTATTCTTTTCTTTTTTTTTTTGGCGTTACTGGGAATTGAATCCAGGGGTGCTCTACCACTGAGCTATATTCAATGTAGTTCATAAAATAAAACTCTTTAGGTTTTTTATTTTGAGGCAGCATCTTGCTAAGTTGCTAGGGCCTTACTAAGTCAGTGTGGCTGAGTTCAAACTTGTGATGCTCCTGTCTTAGCCTCCTAAATTGCTGGGGTTATAGATGTGTGCTACCATGCTTGACTAGATTAGGCACTTTTGATTGCTAGAAGTAAAATCGGTGAGCTCCCATAATGATAGGCAGTCCACCTGTAGAGAGATAATGCTGACTGAGATCACCTGCAGTTACAAATGTAGGAGACATTAATATGTTTAAGCCTCTTAGTGGTAATAACTGGGTTTAGAGAAGCACCAGGAAACAGCTATATCTTTACATTGGAGTTGTCTCATTCATATCACTGA